GCAGGAAGGAGGGATAGTTGAGCAAGATTGCAAAATAGTGCTGCATCACTCATGAAATATGAAGCATCAATATTAGTGTCAGCAAATGTCCCTATTACTGTAGGTTGTTATCATTAGATATGATTTTTCCATTTTTAAGTCGTTAACAAGATGTGTGACATTGAGAAATCACAAGGACCTAAGAAAGAGATAACCTCATTAACCTAGGCGTGTCTTTACAATGGGGTTAGATCAAAGCAATATTTCATGTTAGACTTAGGCAAGCCATGGATAATGCAATTTCTGATCCTGCAACCTAGGGTTGCAGGAATGAAAACTGCTTGATTCCCTCATCAACACAGTCACTATGGATCCCTCTCGCAGTGCTATTATTGATTAGTGTTGCTGGCTATTACTAATCGTTCGGGGAAAAACCCAACAGACTGGTTGTACACAATCGATTGACAGATTGACTTGTGTACAACCAGGGTGCCCATTCTTGGATCAATATTTGGCTGGTCCTTGCTGAGTGAGAGGACCTTTTTAATGTGGATACTTCCCATTTGCTGTCCATTGGTATGGTCACCTTGAGCTTCAGAAGATTACTGCAGTGTGATGCCATCACAAATAATGGGCAGTAAGAAGACTGGTTGGTGGTGGGCCCAGTCTTAAGCTCTGGATCACTGACCTTCAGTCTCAGAATAGTCTCTGCAAAGGCCATGTAATGGCAGCCTCAGGTGAGTATAAAAGGAGGTTAGAGGGTATTTTAATTGTGAATGGTTCAGGGGGTTGGAGGTTGGTAAAAATCTGCCTGGTCTACAGGTTTTTGGACCTCTAGGGGTTTATTTACTAAAGCTGGAGAGTCCAAAATCAGACTCCCTTCTGCATAGAAACCAGCTTCTAACCTCAGCTTGTTCAATGAAGCTTTGGCAATGAAACCTGGAAGCTGATTGGTTTCTATGCAGAAGTGAGTCTGATTTTGCACTCTCCAGCTTTAGTAAATAAACCCCCTAGTGTCTAGCTGGACTCCAACAGGACAGTTGGTAGGTTTTGTATTAGTGCACACATGGTTTAGCTTTAAATTACTATATCGCAGTGGGTCATGGTCCCACTTGCTGACACATGACAGAAGAATAGGTCTCATTTTCAACTAGTCCAGCATCACCCAGCACAGCATTTACATAATTACATAGTTATTCTGGCTGAAAAAAGACAAAAGTCCATCCAGTTCAACCATTAAAAAAAAAATGTTGTAATCCTATACCCACAGTTGATGCAGAGAAGGCAAAAAAACCCCAGCAAAGCATGATCCAATTTGCTCCTGCAGGGGAAAAAATTCCTTCCCGGTCCCCCAAGAGGCAATTGGATATTCTCTGGATCAACTTTACCTATACATGTTAGTATCCAGTTATATTCTGTGTATCTAGAAAAGAATCCAGGCTTTTTTAAAGCAATCCACTGAGCTGGTCAGAACCAACTCTTGAGGGAGTCTATTCCACATTTTCACAGCTCTCACTGTGAAGAAACCTTTCCGTGTTTGGAGATTACATTTCTTTTCCTCCAAAAGTAAAGAGTGCTCCCTTGTCCTCTGTGATGAACTCAGGGTGAATACCTCTACACTGAGTTCACTATATGAACCACTGATGTATTTATACATGAAGATCCTATCCCCCCCTATGTATTAAACATGGAGATCATATCCCCCTTATGTATTATACATGGAGATCATATACCCCCTTATGTATTATACATGGAGATCATACCCCCCTTATGTATTATACATGGAGATCATATCCCCCCTTATGTATTATACATGGAGATCATATCCCCCCTTATGTATTATACATGGAGATCAAGGAGATCCCCCCCTTATGTATTATACATGTATTATATGTATTATTACATGGAGATCATATCCCCCCTTATGTATTATACATGGGATCATTATGTATTATACATGGAGATCATATCCCCCCTTATGTATTATACATGGAGATCATATCCCCCCTTATGTATTATACATGGAGATCATATCCCCCCTTATGTATTAATACATGGAGATCATATCCCCCCTTATGTATTATACATGGTGATCATATCCCCCCTTATGTATTATACATGGTGATCATATCCCCCTTATGTATTATACATGGAGATCATATCCCCCCTTATGTATTATACATGGAGATCATATCCCCCCTTATGTATTATATTATATCCCCCCTTATGTATTATACATGGAGATCATATCCCCCCTTATGTATTATACATGGAGATCATATCCCCCTTATGTATTATACATGGAGATCATATCCCCCCTTATGTATTATACATGGTGATCATATCCCCCCTTATGTATTATACATGGTGATCATATTCCCCCCTTATGTATTATACATGGAGATCATATCCCCCCCTTATGTATTATACATTGTGATCATATCCCCCCTTAATCTCCTCTTCTCAAGAGAGAATAAATTCAGTTCCTCTAATCTTTCCTGATAGCTGAGCTCCTCCATGCCTCTTATCAGTTTGGTTGCCCTTTTCTGTACTTTCTCCAGTTCCCCAATGTTCTGTTTGTGAATTGGTGCCCAAAACTTAACTGCATATTCCATATGAGGTCTTACTAATGATTTTTACAGGGGTAAAATGATATCTCTCTCTCTGGAGTCTATACCTCTTTTTATACTTCAGCTTGGCAGTGCCAGCCATTATTAAGCTTGTGATCTACCAGAACTCCTAGATCCATCTCCACCATTGATTCCCCCAGTTGTACCCCCCCCCCCCAGTATGTATGATGCATGCATATTCTTAGCCCCCAAGTGCAGAACCTTACAAGGTCGGCTTGTAAGTTGGAGACATCCTGTAAGGACGTTATTCCACGGCAACAGCTTGGTGTCATCTGCAAAGACTGAAATGGTATTTATAATCCCAGACCCATTATCGTTTATAAATATATTAAAAAGTAAGGGTCCCAACACTGAACCTTGGGGTACACTACTGACAACCCTAGACCATGCAGAGTATGAATCATTAACCACTACTCTCTGAATACTATCTTTTAGCCAGTTTTCTATCCATCTACATACAGATTTTCCAAGCCTGTAGACTTTACCTTACACATTAGCCGTGTGTGGGGAACTGTGTCAAACGGTTTTGCAAAATCCAAGTATACCACATCCACCGCCACCCCTCTGTCCAAGGTTTTGCTCACCCCCTTATAAAAAGAAATAAGATTTGTTTGACAACGTCTATCTTTCATGAATCCATGCTGTCTGTTGCTTAAAATATTTTTTTTCCAGCAAGAACTCATCTATGTGGTCTTTTATTAAACTATCCAGTATCTTCCCAACTATAGAAGTTAAACTAACAGGTCTATAATTACTTGTTAAAGATTTTGACCCTTTTTAAATATTGGCTCCACATTGGCCTTTTGCCAATACAGTGGTGCTATGCCAGTCAGTAAAGAGTCCCTAAAAATTAGAAACAATGGCTTTGAAATGACAGAGCTCAATTCTTTAAGGACCCGTGGGTGTATGCCATCTGGTCCAGGTGCTTTATTAACCTTTATTCTGTCTAAATATTTTTGGATCATATCAATTGTGAGCCAATGTGGAACAGCCGGAGCTGTGTCAATACCATGCCCATTATGGACAAGAGCTCCCCCATGCTCCTTTGTATACACAGAGCTTAAGAAGGTAATTAATAAATTTGCCTTCTCTTTGTCCCCAGTCACCCACTCTAGATTATTTTGTAAAGGGCCTACATGCTTGGACTTGACCTTTTTACTATTAATATATTTGAAGAATTTTTGGGGGGTTGGTCCTGCTATCTTTTGCAATCTGTCGTTTATTTTCAATTTTAGCGGCCTTGATGATGATAGCGTTCCTTCAATTTTATATTTAACTAAAGCTCTTTTCTTATTATCTATAGCTTTTTTAACTTTGGCCGTAAGCCACATTAGTTTGATTTTTAGCCTTTTAAACCTGTTTCCCATGGGAATATATTTTGCAGTGTGTTCACATACAGTCTTTTTGAAGAACTCCCATTTCTGTGTTGTGTTCATTTATGCCAATATTCCCTCCCAGTCTAAGTCTTGGAGAGCAGCTCTCAGCCTTGGAAAATTAGCTCTCTTACAATTGAGTGTTTTTTATTTTTCCTGTATGTGCTCACTGTTTACAGCTAACAATAAATTAAATGTTGTTATGGTTACTGCTACCCAGATGTTCTTTTATATGGATATTAGTAATTAGCTCTGCATGGTTTGAGATTACCAGGTCCAGCAGAGCATCTTTCCTAGTTGGGGCCTCTATGAGCTGTACCATAAAATTGTCCTGTAGTAGGTTTAAAAATGTTTGCCCTTTAACTGTTCCTGCAGTACCATTACTCCAGTCAATTTCTGGGTAGTTAAAATCCCCCATTATTATAAATGTCCCAGCCCTATCAATCTGTGCAATGAGCTGAGTTTCCACCTCCTCATTAACACTGGGAGACCTATAACAAACTCCAAGGATTACCTTTGTAGTACGCACCCCCATGTGCAGTTCCACCCATAATGCTTCAGCCTCATCACACTCTCAAGCCCGCTACTTCATGACAGTGACCCGAGAAGACTGATAAAAATATTGAATGCCTGTCAGGGTGAGAGCATTTCCCGCTGACATTCATGCTGAAATGATTCTTACATTATCAGTTCAGGGAAAAATTTGCATGACTTGATTTACTTTTAAAAATTACCTGGCACAAAAAGAGCTTGTGTGACTTTGACTCTTAACGAATTGCTCACCTGATACACTCAGCTGCAGGATGTTGCTAGTGCTGGTGCTAGCAGGGTTCTGGATGGTGCAGGTGTACCTTCCACTGTCATGCTTTGAGATGGTCTTGAAGTAGAGGTTGGAATCCCTGCAGATCACATGGCGCTCAGAGCAAATGTTCTTCCCATTACGATAGAAGGTGTAAGTAGCAACATTCTGCTTACCGGCATCACAATGGAGAGACACATAGGAGCCATTAACAAGACGATCAGGAACAGAATTAGGAACGAGGGCGGGAGCAGTGAGAGTTGCTGTAAACATTAAAGAAAAGAAAAACCGTTACCTAACATTTTGTTTTTCAGGATAATAGGCAATAATTATTTTTAATAATTAGGTCCACTTAAAGGACAACTTCAGCCTGAGTGCAGCCCACCCAGTAAATTGTTAACTTCCTTTCCATTCCAGCCAGGGGTGGACTGACAACTCATGGGGCCCCTGGGCAATAGGGGATCATGGGGCCCCTGTGTCCTTGCCCAAACTCAAAAAAGCCTATGAAAAAGTTACCAGGGGCATCTCATGGGGCCCCCTAATGCCTGAGTTTCCAAATGGTCAGTCCGCCCCTGCTTCCAGCAATTGTTGAGGTGGTGTGGCCCTGTCCAGCTCTGCACAGCCTTTGAAACGAAAATGTTTCAGGTAAGTTTCCTCCCTACTGCATGCACAAGACGTGGCCCTGTTCATTCCTATGGGTAAGCTGTACTCCATTGGAGGGCTGAAGGTCACCATGAGTATGGCTCATCTATAGCAAGGAAGCAGCCACAATACACATGTGCAGTAGGTAGCGGACCCATTTGGAGTATTTAATTTTCAAAGGTTGTGTGGCAACAGGCAGAGCTACATAGTAGAAATCACTGAAATGGGGAGGAAGGTGAGTTTCTATTGCCTGGTGGGCAGCTCTCAGAGCAGGTAGGGGGTAAGGTTATTTAAAGCAGAACTACATTTCACATGGAATGGGAGTGCTCTTGCCATAATGTACAAGAATGCAAAGCATAGTTTCACATTATGGCACATTTACCTCCTAGTAAAGAAATAGATAGAATGACACAACCAGAATAAAAAGCTCTCTACAGCTAGCCTTATTTAAACAGAAGCTATATGTCTCACTTCTATCACAAATTCAAAAAATGAAAGGTTTACCTAGGGTTGTGTTGTTATCAGATATTGCCTGAGGCTGCCATTTTTGCCCTTCTCCACCCCCCAGGATTGGTTGCTAGGATGCTGGTGTTCAGACTGCCACAGCATCATGGGCTGCTAGGTTTCAGACAGCTGTGCCATACAGCGCAGTGGTTGCTACGGCGCTGGCGGCTGGGCTACACAGCATATTGATTGGTAGGATGCATGCAATCTAGGGGCTGAACATGCACTGAGAACAATATAGACACTCCAGCCTCAGTACCACCCTCCACTGTGTCTCTATGAATGCCTCCTGAGCCTGCCTCCTCAATTGGCCTCATAGATGGCATGGCCCTGGTTTTGTTTTTCATTTGAGGGTTAGCACATCCAAAATGTACATCCAGCTGTACATCCAAAAATGATTTATAATACAGATGTAGTCTAATATTATAGTGAATATTATGCTCCAAACTGCATATAGATGTTTGTGGGCTTGTTGAAAATTATCAGTGCATTGTGTAAGCCATAGCTATGGAGCTTGGCCTATAGACTGACAAGGTTATGATGAGGTGCGATAAAAAGAACCAAAAGATCCTTCACTGAATATGAAGCACAGAAGATCCTTGAACTAATAAACACATAAATAATGAGATAACTGAAGTTATGCAATGAAAACTAAGAACTTGTGAGTGGAAAGACTCCAGTAATAAAGATATGAATACTTTGGATGTAGAATAGCTAAAGGAATTGCTAAAGATGAATTACTATAGAAATACTTGAGCATACAATAAAAGATACAAATGCATTTATGAGGATGAAAAACTCTTATCTGTTGAATAATGTGTAGAGCTCTCCCTTGAAGGGGCCACTGAGAAGATGCCCAGGTCTCCCTTGCTAGTACAGAGGCTACCTGCCACAGTCACAGTTCCAAACACACTGACAACACGGACTCAGTCTAGGGGATGTCTTTTTGTGGATTTTATTGGCAGAAACTTGAACGGGGGGGAATTTAAGGATTCAAGATACTCCAAACAATAGCAGAAAACTACAGATGGACTAACCTCTTACAAAATCTTTTCGAAACAGCCTTGACTGGAGATAATTGGGAATAGCCAGTAATTCTAGGTCTCTGTAAGAGCAAACCCAGTCCATTCAGTAACATCTGGCACTCAGTTCCCTCTAACCTATACACACCTGAGAGTCCGAAACCAGGTATTACTCACTTAGGACATCTGTCTGCCACCCAGCTTCCATGCAGCACTCCTTAGTGAGGACGAAAGAGATCCTTCTCCAGACCAGACTCCAAGATGATGTCCTCCAGCAAGAATCCTTTTAGCACATCTTCTTCAGGGCCTCAGCCTAGCACCTGTTAAGGCCCACACAGCAACTCCAGTACACAGGCTGCATCTCAAAGGCAGCAGCCCCAGGGCAAGAACACTCTGAGCAAGCCTCCGAAACAGTTATCACCTGTCTCAGCCACCTTCTGGGTGCCTCCTCCCAGTGATTGGCTGGGGTCTGATAAATATTCATAACACAGTGGTTGATCCTCCTATACTATATTCCAGAAGCTTCTTCCAGAAGCAGGCAGGAGTAATCAACCATTAAGCTTAGGAAAACCCAACCAAACCAAAAAACAGATCACTACTCCACTAAGTACAGTGGAGGCAACAACTAAATTCAGCCTAATTGTTGGCAGAGTGCTACATATGTTTATTGTCCTGCTGATAAGGGACTTTTATTGAATCTCTGAAGACATCAGTGGATCAGTGGAGGCCAATAGACTATGTTATGTTGAGGTTATGATGAAGTGGGCTAAAAAACAATAAAAAAATCCTTCACTAAACATGAAGCACAGAAGAGCCTTGGACTAATAAACACATAAATAATAAAATAGCTGAATATATGTAATGGAAATTCAGAACTGGTGGGTGATGAAGACTTTAGCAATAAAGAGATGAATACTCTGGTCGCAGAACAGTAGAGGATCTGTTAACAATAATTCACTATAGAAAATCCCAAGCACAAAAGCTACACGGGCATTTATCTTGGTATGGAGGGTGAAAAAAAACTCTTATGTCTTGATAAATATGTATTATCCTGCTGAGAAGGAACTCTGAAGAGATCAGTGGAATGCACCTGTCAGGAATGGACTTGCTAGTGGTGGTGGGACTCACCTGCCTTGTGGGCTGCAGTACCAGGGCTGGCCAGCAGGTGCTCTCAGCAACCAGAGGCTCACTCCTGCAATGAGCCATCACCTGAGGCTGATTACAGCAGTTGTATTTAAGGAATGGCCAGGCCTGTGATCAGGGCCTTGGTGTAATGTTTCCCATAAGCCCCTGTATCTGCATCCTGTCTGCTTCCTGCCTCATCCTGATTCTGCTTTAATCCTGACTCTGCATGAAATCTGCCTGTCCTGACCTCGGCTATTCCTGACTACGCTTCCGCCTGCTCCTTGTACCTTGCCTGCCCGTTTGCTACCGACCTGGCCTGCCCGACTACGTTTAGTATTGTTCTTATTGTTGGAGGTTTGGTTGCACTGTGTTTATGTTTAGTCTTGCACTGCGTTTATATATTTTTTAGTCTTTAATAAATTGTATTGTTTATACTATACCTGGAGCCTGCGTTTCCCTGTGTCAGTCCACACATTTCTGGTCATACCCGGATCCCTAACAGCATCATAGACATATGTGTCTGTTTAATGAAGGAGGAAATTTGGTACGATTTAATTTTTTTCATTTGAAAAAGGAAAATAATATGGCTGGAATCTTGTTGGTTTGTATATGCAAGTCCATCAGATTCTTTTTTACTAACATATTTATACAACATACACAAAATTGGATTTGTAGGAAGAACATGGGCATACAACAGTAGAATTTTGTCCAAACCTCCGTATGGAAATTCAGAAAAATCGTTCATCAGAGCTTTTGATCTTGCCATCGAGTCAACTAATTTCATTCAAAAGCCTTTAACATTTCATCCAGACCTGCTAACTGAATAGAATTTCAGACGTACTATACAAGTTAATTTTATGTCTAAAACATGCGCATTACAATGTGTATCATTTTCTCCACATGTAAATCATATTCACAATTAGAGGGCAAATAGAAAGAGCGAATCTCCCCAGCAGGGCAGAGCAGCAGAAAAAAAACCCCTAACCAAGGTTCTAATACCTAACCCCTTAAAGTTTTAGATATACATTAATTGCCAGTGTAGCCCTATCCTTAAATAATGCCAAGCATAAAACCGGAAACAGCATAACAGCGTGCGCTCCACCACCTGGAAGTAGAGTCACCACAGCTCTCGTCACCTGAATCGAGCCTCTGAGGATGCCCAGTGTGAGGGGCGTCAAATGATGAGACCTGTGGTGACGCCACTTCCGCTTGGTGGAGCGCATGCTGATGCGCTGCTTCTGGTTTTATGTTTGGCATTATTTTAAACATGTGATTGCCCTGCATCTATTTTTGCCTGATCATTTTAATAAATGAAATTATGTTATTTGGTCCCTCTCCTCACTTCCCATGAGTACCTACATCTTATGACCACTAAAATTGATCATCTCGGCAAATAAGGAACCCATCCATATCCATATCGAGGAGAACCACAAGACCCAGCAATACTGGGATTTCCCGCTAAGCACACTATACTCTTATTTAAACCTGAGAATCCACTCAAGTCGATGAGTTGAATGACCGGTGGGGAGAACATTGTGTTATTAAGCACCTTATAAGAAGAATACAACACAGACACACTTTTAGGAGACTGCATGGTTTTGCACATTTATGGACTTTGAATGGTGTAATTATATAATATATATATATATATATATATATATATATATATATATATATATTCTCACTGGCCTATCCCCACTCCAGTCGATCCTAAACTCCGTGACTAGACTCATCCACCTCACCAACCGCTCCACATCTGCCTCCCCCCTCTGCCAATCCCTTCATTGGCTCCCGATTGCCGAACACATCAAATTCAAACTGCTAACTCTGACCTATAAAGCCATTCACAACCTCCGCCCCAAACTACATAACTGACCTGATACCCAAATACTACCCTACCCGTGCCCTCCGCTCCTCACACAACCTCCTACTCCCTAGCTCCCTGGTCTCCTCCTCCCACAGCCAATTGC